AGGTGAAGAGGACTCACGAGCCAGGCAATAAGGGGAGGGGGGATAAATAGAGGGAGGTTTAGCCAAGGCGTTAGTTTTAACAATGTTCTGGTTACCAGCTACATGTACCTCTTAATAAAGAAGTATTTATCTGACCCAAGCCTGGTTGTGGGATAATGCTTCAGAACTGAGAGTTGGACATCGTGGACTTGACACATAGTTGCTTGAAATGCTGCCACCTGTCCTTTCACAGGTGATCCTGACTGTCTCTCCAAGCGATGCTGACAAAGGTGGTTGAGTCAAGGTGAACTGGGCCAAGGCACCTGCAGGTGGAAGAAATGGGGAAAAAATACAACTGAGCTGCTCTCAGAGAGAAAGGCATTTTATCAACTTTAAGGAAGTAGAAAGGGGGCAAGAAAGAGATAAAATATCCAGAAAAGTAGAGTTGTGCATTGGAAGACCAAAATACGTTTCACTTCCTCATAGGAAAGCCATATTTTACCAGTGAAGTAGGTGAGGAGGAAGAGGAGGAAGAGAAACATTTGGGCCATGGCCGAGAAATGGGCAACAGCCGATCTTCTGAAACCAACGCTCCTTCTAGGTTGCCCCCTTCACTCCCTTCTTAAGCTCCAGAATTGGTGGCTGAAAAAGTATGCAAATAAGTTTCCCGTCGATTTGTTTTTTAACACACACACCCCTGCATTCCTGAGACAAAGACAAGGGATGTTTTCCATAAGATCTCACCTGCAAGACTCGCCTGTGGGGTGCGGAAGGGAGTGGAACTCCATGGCTGCCTTCACAAAACACATTGAAATTTTATCTTTTCTGGGCTCACCCTCTATCTACAGTGTGAGGTAAACTTACCAACATTTCTAAGTTCACAGTAAATATTACCCCACCACAAAAAAATACCACAAACCAAACTGATTCAGCAGGTGATCAAATCGATAAGCCACCTGAATCCATGTACTGTGTGAACGATTCCTCTTCGCTTGGTGTTTGACAGTTTTTACGTTTCCTGGACAAGAATATGCTGAAATCTGTAATGGGCCTGCATATTTCCCCGGAAATCCCACACTACAACCATGGATGTCAGGTTTGTATTTGAAGACCTTCTTCTCCAATCCCCTGCTCTGTGAAGAACCTATGTCCACACGACTTTGCAAGGTGAGGATCAGACTCTTTTGGCCATCACTTTCTGATTCTCTTCAAAACAGAGTCATCTTGAAAGAAACAACTATGGCTGCATCTCCAGGAGTTTCATTCATTGATCATGTGGTATCAAGTCAGCATTGACTCTCAGTGAGCAGAAGAATAGACCTTCTCCAGAATGATCTGTCCCCACCCATTTCCCCATCTGGAAAACTCAAGATTGCCTCTTTTTAGTAAGCTTTAGGTTAGAAAACATAAAAGGTCATCAATGACACCTAGTGGCCAGAGAGACACTAGTAAGATACTCTTTCATGCCCATCTGTAAAATAGCAAGGGGAACCCACTTCACATGGCCTTTTTAACAGATGAAGTTAACGAGGAGGAGGAGGAGGAGGAGGAGGAATAATTCAGCTTTCCATTATTCCTCCAGTGAATCTGTAGGACAAAACCAGGACTGGAGGCATTTTTGACCTTCAGGAATGGTTGGTGGGTCTCCTTTCACTGGGGAAGCTGCAACTGGGACTCTACCCACGACCTGAGTTCAACAAATGTATGAGCAGCATGAAAAGGAGCAGCTTTTCAAACTCCTCCTTCCATCACAATTTTCCCTGTGCTTGGCTACATCCTAGTCTATATGAATTTCCAGCTGCCAATAGGTTTATTCCACCTTTCTCTAAATATTTCTCACTTTCTTTACATGAAATGAGAAAGGTTAATGCTAACCCACGCCTGCTGCTTTATAGGTGTCTCTTCTCCCACCCTGAATCCCATGTATTGTACAGTGTTAAATGTCACGATTCATGGATGTTTCTTCACAGATTTCCATACAGTAAAGTTTCTTTTTTTTTTTGGTTTTTTTGGTTTTCTTGAAAAAACATCTCCTGAGCCATAGGCTGCCCTCCCATGGATTGGATTGGATAAAAAAAAACATGTTCGTTCAGTTTAGACATATGCTGGTGAAATGCTAATTGTCCAGTTTGTACCCGCCCCCATCTCAGCTAAAATCTTCTTGTTTCTGAAGGTCTGGTGTATATTACAACTTTCAAAATGGATAAGGCAGTTAATGATTTTCAAATATATTCTTTTTCCAAAACAGTTAGCAACCTGAGCCCATAGGGCTACTGGTTTACCCTACACCCTCCGCTTCCATACTCCTGACCCAACCACCCTCCTTGGGGGCAGGGGAGAGAGGTCTTTGAAGATGGAAATGGACCAGCAGGAGCTCCTCTCCTAACTCTTCAGCTCAACTGTCCCCAGTCACAGGTCAAGGTTTGTTGCTTTTTCTTTCAGGCTGAAGAGGAAAAGTGGAGGTTTTTGTCACGCTTCCCCATCAGAATTTACCACCGTGCAGCTGGTTGCCAGCACTGTCCCAACTACCACAGAAATAATCTGCCTCGTCTTCAGCCTCCACATTGGTGATGGCTAAAAATCCTGTGCTGCCAGACCTGGTGGCCGTAAACCGATCTGGGATCCCTTCTCCCCTGCTGCAGCCATCACAGTGGACAAAGCGAGGGCCTTCTCCAGATTTCTGTTGATACCAGCCAATGCTGTAGCTACTCTGAGTTGTTGTGCAGGAGAGAGTGACAGTTCCTCCCAGGGACACGGAGCTGGAGGGAGCCTGAGTCCAAACAGTCTGACAGTCGATGCCTTTAAAAGGGGGAAGGGGAGAGGTGAAGAAAAAAACAATATTTTGTCAGGGATGCACTTTCTTTTCTGGTTGCTCTTAGCCATGTCCAAGGAACCATGTTCTTATGAGAATCACAACCAAATCCTCCCTTAACCCCCGAAAACCGACTGTTCTGCACCTTACCTGTGCAGTAAGTGAAAAGTGCCAGGAAGACCACAGCCCAGCCCATGGTGAACTTTGGCAAGGAGTATCCTTTTAGGGTGGACAATTATAATCTTCTTGAGATTTTCTCCTTTGCTTAAATGCCCCAGATGTGCCCTTTCATGCAAATCAGACCTGTACTCATTGGTTCTGCTAGAATATTTTATTCGCACAAAGCATAATGAGGTCTCCTAATTTAGCCAATGATCACAGGACTCATTTGCATGGAGGAGATTTGGAAATGGAGGAAGACTTCAAAGGCCTCCATTAAAATCTGACCACCCTCTTGTGGACCAGGGGAACACCCGACTTGTAACGTGAAGGTGACATGGAAATGCTTACATGGAAATGTAATTATGTAATTATACTTAACCTCAGCTGGCACATAAAAGCTAATATGCAAATACAATAGAACTCTTAAACTGGCTTTAATATCATTTTTAAAAAGCAAAGAAAGAAACATCAAGAAGACTGTGCAAAACCGATCAGAACATCCTGATCACCCATTAACTCTAAAACAAATCTGCCCACATTTGCTCCTCACCTACAAAGACCTTGCACTCTCCAAAAATGCTAAGCGATCCTGATCTTCAGAAGGTGTCTGCCTTGATAGACAGATTGTAGTGTGGTTTCATCCTTGGGTATTGCACCTCTCTCCTGAACCAGGCGGATTTTGCTAGATAAATTGTCCTGTTTGGCAAATGGAGCCAGATCTCCCTAGTATTTCTATTTCTGGGATTCTCACAGGTCAGCAAAAATCAAGATATATTGGTATGTTCCAACCCCCTGATGACGAAGGAGAAGGATTTGATCACAGTGCCCCAAGCCAGTTGACCACGGTGAAATACGTCACTAAACCACATTCCACAGCAACACGCCTGATCTTCACCCTGGATGGTCAAACGGTCCATGGTTCCATAACGGGAAACCACAAACGGCTCTAAGATTTCTTGTCTTCTGCTACGGTCCCAATTTTGCACATA